ACATTACACCTCGTTGGAGGAAAAGGAGGTGTCTGACAGCTATTAGACGGTCATAACCTTTACTGCAAGAATATATTATGCTTTTGGTTTTTTTTTTATTGCTTATTTGTATTTTTTACTGTTTAAAATAAATATTTTCAATCATTGTTAAAATGTGTATTCCTATTTTAAAAAGCAACGAAACATCTCTGAATGGTTTTTACTGTTTTCCTCATCTGTGAAATGGTCACGGTGTGACGTAACATTTAAACTTCTTTAATCCAGAGCTCAGCAACAGACGACAAACATGCAGACCTATTGATAGACCAACTGTTCACCCCCTTGGAAATCACCAACATTGTTAAAATAACACTGGTGTGTCTTGGTGGAGTCTGGGTCTTGGTGACATCTGGACTTTTAATCCACGGATGCTGGCAAAATAGGGGGGTAAGTGAACACAACATAGGTGTGTCTTGGTGGAGTCTGGGTCTTGGTGACATCTGGACTTTTAATCCACGGATGCTGCCAAAATAGGGGGGTAAGTGAACACAAAATTTACCAGTGTTTTATTGAATCACTCTATTTGAGCTGGGTTTACCAACCTTTTCTACATGTCCTTCACCCCTGGTAATTTTTTTTTTAAAGTTTCGCACCCCTAAGAAAGTAACAAGGCATTTTAAAATTTAGCTTAATGGCAAGGGTTAATTAGAAGCAGTCATTGGGTAATTTTCATACATGTTTTCGACAGGGTTTTAAATCAGTCAAATCAATGAGCGTTGTTCATGATTGTGTTGACAAGTCTTAATTTAGGTCAAATCAGTGGGTGGTGTTCATGTTGACAAGGCTTAATTAGGTCAAATCAGTGAGTGGTGTTCCTGTTTGTGTTGACAAGGCTTAATTAGGTCAAATCAGTGGGCAGTGTTCATGTTTCTGTTCATTCCACAGTATAATGATGATGAGGATGATGAAACTGATGGTATTCGGTCACCTCCACGCAGCCATGACCCAGTGACTGACCCTATCTTACCCAGCAGCGGAAGTGGAAATTTCAGTCGAATCCCAGGCCCATCAAGAGGAGACTCGAGTGTCACATCTTCCACTTCAGGGCAAAGAAGCTCAGGGATGTCTAAGGATCAAGTCGTTAAAAATGAAAGGACTCCAATATTAGGCTCCAATCTAGATGTATGAATTTGCCAAGAAGCCTTTTTATTAACTAAATTCCAGCTGTAACTTATCTCATATTCTATGCTGGTTTTTGGGGAATGCCCAACCCATTTACAAAAAATATTTGACATATGCCCTTGGAGTGTAAATCAAATTTTTAAATATCAGTTGCCTCTTAATCAAGTGATAGTGGTTTATCTTGCACATCGAACATTAAAAGTCATTTAGCCCAGCCAGTGAAAGTTCTACCCATAGTGAGGACATAGTGAGGTCTGGTGGCATTTTAATTGACTTAAATCATATTTTTGTGTTTTGGCTGTACCGGGTAGGCCTACTGCTATTAACAGAGGGAAAGAGTGGAATGTTCTGCATTCAGAAAGAGGCCATGCAGTGTTCTTATAAAAAATTTAAAAAATGAAGCCGACTTTATTTTCATAGTAAAAAAAGGTTTGAGGGGTTCTAGTCCTTGACACCGGTCAACAGATCATTGAGTTCAGAGTTCAGCCTTGAACTCATGTAATTTTAAAAGTAGATTTTAAAATTTTTATGATAATTAGTTCACTTTCTTTTTTCGTATTTATACACTTTTTGATAAGAGCTTTTAGTTAATGCATCACTATCACCATAAAATACTTTCCGATTCACTTATTTTTTTTATTCTTCATCCAACATTAAATTGAAACAAATAAAAATGCAATAAAGGGCTATCCCGGGGGCATCCAGCCTCTCAATTGTTAGTTTTAAGGCTGACCAAGTATTTCACCTCTCCCAACATCTTTTCTGCAGCATTATTTCATTGATATGGGATCATATTTTTAACATTTAGCAACTTGTTTTTGTTGCTGATTAAGTTTGTTTCTGAATACTTTTCTAAGCTGAATGTTGAATCGCTTAACAGTTAAACTTTTAACATTCCCTTCCAAGGCAACAAAACTTATTCATAATGTTTGTTAATGTAATTGTTGATTATTTGTACATTTGATGTATATTTACTGAAGTGTCTATGTGCAGCATTGTGTGTTGTATATGACTTATCAAAACTCATTTTGCATTGATTAATACTACATCAATGATCAAAGATTGTTTACTCAGGTATAATTATAAGATAATTTAATGAAATTACAAGATTACTATTTTCATCAGCATTAAAAAAAAAAAAAGTTTTCACGTAATGAAGCATGTGTTAGAAATTTAAAAAATTTACATTTGATTTTCTGTTAAATTTGTTTTGTTTTTAAAATATTAATTCTTGATGTATTTTACTTAAGTTATACTATTGTACTGGGATGACTGTAGTTATAAATATTAAATGTATATTTTGACTGTAAATAAATAGAGCAAAATATGTTTAGGCTTGATAATAAAAGTCAATTAAGCGAACGTTTCGGGTAAATGCTTTCTACAGCAGACAATACAATACAATAAAGAACAGATCAATATAGATAAAAAATAAACATATGTTTTCTAAGATCTCAGTAAAGTCAATGTAGCTCAATGTTCATGAAACACATGGGTGTGAAAAGCTGAACTTATATCTTTATTATATATTTTGTAGTTGTAAAAAAATAATGTTATTAAAAATTTAAGGGAGTAAATTCTGCTTTTTAAACATCAATAAAATCAAATATTCATGACAATGAAATATCATTAAGAAAAACAAATGTAAATTTGGGTTCTCATTAAGGAAGAAGTCTTGCTCCTTATGAGCTGGTTTATAACCATATACTTAGATTCCATTCATTTTTAAAATTAGATCAAAACAATTAACTTCTTTCAAAAATTTACTAATAAAGTTTATTAAATAACAAAACCTTTTTTTGATAAATCTTTCCTAATATTGTAAGTACTTGAATATAAGAAACATAAAAAATAGTCAATATTTTCCACAAAATAAAGTGTGTGAGAGAGAAGAGAAGAGTATTCTGATAAAGGGATTAGTCTCATTATCATGAATGATGAATTATAGCTAACATTAATACGGTTTAAAACCTTTGTAGTTGACATTAATCTGTTCCTAGAATGAAACAAAAATTAAGAGCTTGAAAGAACTTATAATATGTACTAATATTACTTTGCTAATTCTGTTCAAGATAACCATGTCTCATACAATCTTATGAAGTAAAAATTACAATTTTACTGGGTGTTTGTAAGAGTGCTATACAACATCTCATGGCAGTGAAATAAACTTTGCATAATCAAAAAAACATGTTCAAAAATTGTAAACTCATTGTAACTATTTTGTTTCATTCATCATAACTTGGACAACAGCTGAACATCTCTTAGACAACAGCTGAACATCTTAGACAACAGCTGAAAATCTCTTAGACAACAGCTGAACATCTCTTAGACAACAGCTGAACATCTTAGACAACAGCTGAAAATCTCTTAGACAACAGCTGAACATCTCTTAGACAACAGCTGAACATCTTAGACAACAGCTGAAAATCTCTTAGACAACAGCTGAACATCTTTTAGACAACAGCTGAAAATCTCTTAGACAACAGCTGAACATCTCTTAGACAACAGCTGAACATCTCTTAGACAAAAGCTGAAAATCTTAGACAACAGCTGAAAATCTTTTAGACAACAGCTGAAAATCTTAGACAACAGCTGAACATCTTTTAGACTACAGCTGAAAATCTCTTAGACTACAGCTGAACATCTCTTTGACAACAGCTGAACATCTCTTTGACAACAGCTGAACATCTTCTAGACAACAGCTGAACATCTCTTTGACAACAGCTGAACATCTCTTTGACAACAGCTGAACATCTTTTAGACAACAGTTGAACATTTCTTTGACAACAGCTGAATATCTCTATTTAACAGAAATAATTAATTCAAGGTTAAGATGACAAGTATACAAGTAAAATTTGTTGTTCTTTTTTATTCAGTAGAATAAACATTTAGCCAGAGACCGTGCCGATCCATGGGAGGGCTATTTGCCCCATTTATGAACATTCTAGAGGCCCCAAACTGACAAATAAACCAATAAAGAAACACTAATTATAAATATTTACATAAAACACAGGTGGAAATTTAATTAGGATCATTTTACGCTTTCGATTTCTGTACAATGCACCTTCAAGTGTAAACAAGAAGAGTGTAACTTTTGTTGACACTGCTTAAGATTATATAAAAGGTCTTGTATGGCTGCCAGAAATAAAGATCCACTGTAAGAAATAGTATAAATTATTTAATGATCAACAATTGCATAATTGATTGAATTAAAAAAAGAGGAGCCATATTATAATCAATTTATTGTGTTTAGCTTAAGAAGTATAAAAAGTTAATTGCTGCCTTCAAAGTTAAATTAAAATTCTAAATACCTGTCTCCAATTAAACTGGGTACTGTAAATGGGAAAATGTCCCCCCCCCCCCCATCTTAAAATGAAATGGACAGATAAGGACGGATTTAGTGGGACTAGAATATCTTAAAATAACATGAAGCCATGACTCTTAGGGAACAAAGTAGGTCATATTGCTTAGGGAACAAATTGAGTCATAATGCTTAGGGAACACATTGGGTCATATTGCTTAGGGAGCAAATTGGGTCATAATGCTTAGGGAACACATTAAATCATAATGCTTAGGAACACAATCATTAAGTCAAAATGTTTAGGAAAAAATGAAGTCATGGTGCCAAGGGAACACATGAAGTCAGTTACTGGAAATTGCTACAAAAGAAAAGTTTTCAAACAAAAATTTGTTCCAAATTAAATAATGTGAAAGACAAACAAATATTAATTTTATTAATAAAGTTTACACTTTCGTCCTTTCTCACTTGCACCTTCTCTTGAAAAGCATTTTTTTTTAAAGTAAATAAATCTCTTTAAAAATTTTTTATTTCAAACAGAGTTCCATTCTAACAAATTTCCTTCAAAAACATTTCCAGATATACATTAAGTTATAATTATGCTTGAGGGACACCGGGTTTATTGTAAAAGTGTTTTTAACACATGAATTGAACAGAACAACTAGAATTCAACACACCATATAAATTGAGTGGCAATGACACGTTCTAAATTGTCAGCAAACTGAACGAGGGCAAGTGTTGTGTTATTGGAGCTTTTAAGGTGAAGGTCAGAGAGAAAGGAAGCCTTCATCTCTGATAGAACACAAAAAAATCGGGTGAAATTAGATTTCACTCTCCCTCACCAGTGTGATGTGATGTCACGTGCTCGTGTCTTTAACTCCGATTAAAAGTTTCAAATCCTCATTTCAGATTGATGCTAGTTGGAATGTTCATGAAGAGTTCCTGGAAACTGTAACACATTGACATTGCCGGTCTGTGGGAGGAGGTATTGTGTTAAGCCTGAAGAGGGGTGAGGCTGTAAGACCGGAAGGCTCTGCACTGGAAACTGTAACACATTGGCATCGCCGGCCTGTGGGAGGAGGTATTGTGTTAGGTCTGAAGGGGGGCGAGGCTGCAAGACCGGAAGGCTCTGCAGGTCTAGAGAAAGCGGCTCAGGTACGTTCCTCTTGAGGCAGCTCTTTGTGTGCCTCTTCAAGTGGTTGGTCTTTGTGAAGCAACTGCCGCAGATATGGCACTGATGGGGACGTTGATTGCTGTGCAGCGACAGGTGGGAACGCAGGGCACTGCCATGGATGAAGCCCTTGCCACATTCCAGGCAACTCAATGGGTAGACACCAAGGTGAACTTTGACCTCATGGGTATCTAGATTTTTCTGCAAATAAACAATTAAATGATAATAATAATTAATAAAAGTTGTATAGATGAGCGTATATCAAGTATACTGAAAAATTGTAGTTATTGTCTCTTGAATCAGAACCCTGGCATGACTTCTGGAGACCCCTCCCACTTTTCGGTTTTTGGCCGCCTTCATTTAATGTTGATCGTTTATTTTGCGTCCGTATTTAAGGTTTTTTTTAAGTGAACACCCCTCCCCCCCCCCCAAAAAACAAAACAGAAGTTAATCATATCAAATTATTTAACGGTTCCTTTAAGAGGAATACTGTGCTCTTTGCCGCATCGGTTTTTTGCCGCCTTCATTTAATGTTTATCGTTTATGTTGCGTCCGTATTTAAGGTTTTTTTTAAGTGAACCCCCCTCCCCCCCCCCCAAAAAACAAAACAGAAGTTAATCATATCAAATTATTTAACGGTTCCTTTAAGAGGAATACTGTGCTCTTTGCCGCTTGCGAAAGCTTCTATCAATTTTTTGTAGTCAAGCAAAAAAAAAAAACAGTCTAATTGCTATGATAAGCTCTAACTCAGCACGTTAATTAAGCCCTTGTTTTCCATTAAAGCTAGCAACTATTTGTCAAGATTTTAGCTGTTTTTAAGACATAATACAGGCTCTTTCCTGTTCATCATGTGCTGTCTGTCGTTCCTTGACTTCTCATGCTCTTCCAGGGTCTTTAAGTATTCCCAGCTGCTAAAGTCTTTAGACGTTATTAGTCTCATTATTGTCCTACCAAAAATTGCTACTGCCAATTGGGACAGTTGGTAGGATTAGACCTAGTGGGGTTTATATTTAACCACCTTTTTATCCACACAAAAAAAAATTAACAAAGGACTGAAATCTAGGACCCCCCAAGTGGTTTTCACTCATTTTGCTTTTCTGGCATCACACTGTCCAAGGTTCTGGATATTTAAAGCTTGAAGACCAGCAGTCTTTTCAACATCAATCAAAGGACTAGCTTAATTATAACATGAATCACCATTCTTTATTTGCTTAGATCGGGGGTTCTTAAGCTATTTTGCTGCGGGGCACCGCCTTTTTATTTTCAAATATTTCCAACACCCCCATCACTATTTCAAAACATATTCCCCACCCCCACCCATCAGGATTACAAATGCTAATAAAAATGTGAATAAACCTGATTTTTCTGGGTCTCTCTGTACTCCCTGACACTGCTTCCCACACAACCAGGGGGTGCTGGCACCCATTATTAAGAACTGATGTTTAAAATGTCTATATTCCACAACTTACCTTATCAATGAAAGCCTCATCACAATAATGGCATTTGTGAGGCTTGACTCCTGTGTGGTCTTTCCTCTGGTGACGTATCAGTGTGGGTCGACACACAAAACCCTGGCAAAGAAAGGAAAGTGCTTTCTTTTAATAACTGATGGACTGCATTCAAGTTGTGTAAATGAAATAGAAGAACGTCCAAATCCATTGTCCTGTCTATTCATTCAGTCCAAATCCATTGTCCTGTCTATTCATTCAGTCCAAATCCATTGTCCTGTCTATTCATTCAGTCCAAATCCATTGTCCTGTCTATTCATTCAGTCCAAATCCATTTTCCTGTCTATTCATTCAGTCCAAATCCATTGTCCTGTCTATTCATTCAGTCCAAATCCATTGTCCTATCTTCTATTCATTCACGTTTAGCAAAACCTTTTTCTTATATTTTGCTTTCTTTTACCAGTTAATTTATTTAAATATGTACTCCTGCATGAACCAGTACATGCATGAACTGTACTCCTGCATGGACCAGTACATGCATGAACTGTACTCCTGCATGGACCAGTACATGCATGAACTGTACTCCTGCATGGACCAGTACATGCATGAACTGTACTCCTGCATGAACCAGTACATGCATGAACTGTACTCCTGCATGAACCAGTACATGCATGAACTGTACTCCTGCATGGACCAGTACATGCATGAACTGTACTCCTGCATGGACCAGTACATGCATGAACTGTACTCCTGCATGGACCAGTACACGCATGAACTGTACTCCTGCATGAACCAGTACATGCGTGAACTGTACTCCTGCATGAACCAGTACATGCATGAACTGTACTCCTGCATGGACCAGTACATGGATGGACCAGTACATGCATGAACTGTACTCCTGCATGGACCAGTACATGGATGAACTGTACTCCTGCATGGACCAGTACATGCATGAACTGTACTCCTGCATGGACCAGTACATGCATGAACTGTACTCCTGCATGGACCAGTACATGGATGAACTGTACTCCTGCATGGACCAGTACATGGATGAACTGTACTCCTGCATGGACCAGTACATGGATGAACTGTACTCCTGCATGGACCAGTACATGGATGAACTGTACTCCTGCATGAACCAGTACATGGATGAACTGTACTCCTGGATGGACCAGTACATGGATGAACTGTACTCCTGCATGGACCAGTACATGCATGAACTGTACTCCTGCATGAACCAGTACATGGATGAACTGTACTCCTGCATGGACCAGTACATGGATGAACTGTACTCCTGCATGAACCAGTACATGCATGAACTGTACTCCTGCATGAACAAGTACATGCATGAACTGTACTCCTGCATGAACCAGTACATGCATGAACTGTACTCCTGCATGAACCAGTACATGCATGAACTGTACTCCTGCATGAACCAGTACATGGATGAACTGTACTCCTGCATGGACCAGTACATGGATGAACTGTACTCCTGCATGAACCAGTACATGCATGAACTGTACTCCTGCATGAACCAGTACATGGATGAACCAGTGCATGCTTGAACCAGTACATGGATGAACTGTACTCCTGCATGGACCAGTACATGGATGAACTGTACTCCTGCATGAACCAGTACATGCATGAACTGTACTCCTGCATGGACCAGTACATGGATGAACCAGTACATGCATGAACTGTACTCCTGCATGGACCAGTACATGGATGAACTGTACTCCTGCATGGACCAGTACATGCATGAACTGTACTCCTGCATGGACCAGTACATGGATGAACTATGGCAATAATGTCAGCAGCTCTTTTTAAATATTTTGACTCTTCCCAATAATCCAGCTCTGAGATCGCATGTACTAGAGGTAGTGCAGGAAATTCAAACTATTAATGTCATAAAATTATATACATCTAGATTAGTACATTAGTGATATGGTCTGAGACACTTAAATTTGTTACCAATACAACTGTAGTACTATGTGATTAGAAAGAACGCCCCCAGAATTCTTACCTTGCCACAATATTTACAAGGGTATGGCTTCTCCTTGAAGTGGTGCCAGGTGATGTGGTCTCTGAGCTGCCTGGCAAGGAAGAACTGCTGGTGGCAGTACTCACACTTGAACTGATAGTCCTTGATGCCCCTGTGCACCACATCAACATGGCGCTGAAGGTGCTTCTTAGTTTTGTAGCTCTGGAATTTTACAAAGTCGGTGTTCTATATACCTACTATGATATAAGTTATAATAATAATAATAATAATAATTAGTGGTCTTTTATAGCGCCGTACCCCAGCCTACAGCTCACCGCACTGTACATAAAAATATTATCAAAAGAGACATAATCATGACATTAAAATCAAATACAATTTTGAAATAAAGAACAGCATGAACCCCAGGAATTTTACAAGGTAAACCATGGACGGCAGCCAACAAGATCATTTATCGGTCAGAGGCGGGGAATCAGTCAGGGTAGTATAGTTTAACGAGATGTGTTTTGAGTACAGTTTTGAAGGCCTGGGTGGTTGGTATATTGCGGATGTGTAGTGGCAAAGAATTCCATTGTTTGGGGGCCCAGAAAGAGAAATATCGTTCACCATATGTTTTAGTGTGTGTCTTGGGAATGGACAGAATAGGCGTGTCTGCGGAGGAGCGAAGCTGTCAAAGGGGTGAATAGACAGAAAGAAGTTCGGTTAGATAGGAAGGGCAGGAATCCGAGAAAAAGTTGTAACAGAGAACAGACAACATGTAGTCAATGCGTGCCTGTATAGGGAGCCAATGAAGGGAGTGGAGTAGTGGAGTGACATGATCATGTTTTTTTGCCTTTCTGCATTTTTTCTATGCAGTGTTTTGGTGAACCCGACAGAAGAGAGTTGCAATAGTCAAGACGAGAGGAACAAGAGCACAGACTAGAATTTTTGTAGCGCTAACTGTGAGGTATTGGCGGATGGAACTGATCTGACGGATAGCGGTGTATGCCGAACGACAAATGTGAGAGATATGTTTATCGAGAGACATGTTGTTAGAAAGAATATAACCAAGATTAGAGGGTGTAAACAGTATGTCGGAGTTACCTACTTGAAATGAGGAGGGAAGAGCTGAGGTAGAGGATGATGTGTGATTGTGAATGAGGAGTGCTTCCGTTTTGTCATCATTAAGCTTCAACAATAAGAAATACCATGATACAAAATATACTATGACACAAAATATACTATGACATAAAATATACTAGGACATACAAATTTGCATGGCATATTAATAATCTTTTGATGTTCTTCTTGTGTGTAGATCTGAACATAAATGCAACCAAACTTTTTTTTTAACATCGTATTCCCTCTATATTGAGAAGTAACTCTAAAAAAATCAGCACATCTATGACAATCAGCTGCTCTTACATATTTCAAAGAATTTTTTTTTCTTCTCATTTAATGTTGGAAGTGAATGTTCATGGCGCAGGAATGTTTTTTTCTATTTTTTTAAATATTCCACACTTGGTGTGCTACAATATTTTTAAAAATTCTTCAAAATAAAAATGTACAAAAATAACTCCTACTCAACTGGACAACTTACTTTATCACACTCACTGCACAGATAAGTGGGGCATTCTTTCTTGTCTTTAGAATCTATTTTAACCTGCTGTTCAGGGTCATGAAGAATTTTTAAAATATGTTAATTTTAAGTCGAATAAGAGAAATAAGGATAAAGTGCATATAAATGTCAATACAAATTATTTAATAATTAGCCTTTATAGCTTTTGACTTGCAATGCCTATAGCAAAAGAAATGAAAAATGATAATTCTGAAATAACATAGCCACATTAAAAAAAAAAACAATTTTAAAGTTTGTTTAAGACACAGAAGCTAATTAGTGCTGAACATTTAAGTTTTCAGATTTTTATTTGACATTTATAGGCTACCTGACAGAGATACCCTCCTTGATTTGTTCCATGTGACAGTCTGTGATAGTGACAACTGGTTTTAGTTTTGAAGTGCTGGCCACACAAATCACACTCGTGCACTCGATTAGTGTGACTCGCCATGTGGAGGTTGAAGGAGCTGCGGGTTGGGAATCTTTTGTCACATTTCTTGCACTTATTCTGTTAATGATACAAAATCTCCACTCAGACATTCACAGGTATCACCAAAATGATATTTCTAAAATTTTAATTTAAAATGGTAAAAACTTTCACTGCGTTAAGTATTGGACATGACAAAAAAGAACTGAAGCAGAAAAAAATTAATTAATTTTTATTTTTTTTTAAAACCAATTTTTAAAAAAAAGATTTTTGATAAAAAACGAGTTTAAATATACTATAAATTAGAAAATAATTTTAAAATGCTTTACGCAAAGAACGCCTCCATGGGGCACTAACACTGGCTATGCCTCTGTGCTAATTACACATGTTTAGTAACAAATTTTAAAATATTGAAAGAGTGGGCACCCAACTGCCTGCAGTTTTATGAAAAGAAGCTGCACATTTTTATAAAGGATTTAATAAAGCACCATTACAACAACACAGTTAACCCAGGTCATGATAAGGGTGCATCCATCTACATAATATGGCAGAGCCCTTTCCCCCTTCAGCATATTTTTCATATATTTACTGGATGAGCATCCTTACAAGGATGTAATGAAACACCAGGACACTGGCTGATCTCACTTACTGGATGGTCTTTACACTTGTGGGCTGCTATGATGTGTGCCTGATTGAGACAGATGAATCCACATGTGGCACACTTCCATGCCTTGCCTTTAGTTGGGGATGCAGGTGATGCTACTGCGGAGCTTTGCAGTTTTGCTGAATCGCCATATTTATCTTGAGTATGTTTCTAAGAAAATGAAGTATAATTCTGATCTATTTAAAAGATTCGAAGAAAACATTTATAATTATTTTTTTATATCTGTTTACTCTTACGATTTCGGCGCACAATGTACGATTTTGAGATGATATACATTATATATATTGTATGTTTATTTTTTACTATTTACATAATGTATTGAACGATTTTGTCATGATATTGTACGATTTTAAGAGTTTGAGGGTAAACAGGTCTGTTATTTACTCTTTAATACATTTAACATGATAAGATTCTTTGAAAACAAGTGTAGCTATAACATTTTACATTGATTTATCATATTTTTGAGCTTGCTAGCAGGAAAACAGTAGATTTTCTGGTTATAATGTTCATTAAAAATTAATATTTTTTAGCAAAAAAATAATATCTACATTTTCAGTCCAAAGGAAACCATTGAGTACTTAAATTAGCTTTAAATGCATAAGGCAAAACATAAGACAAAATTAATGTGAACAATTAAATTCTTTAGTACTGAGCTGAGTACTATGCATTTTGAGTCTTACCAAAACATGCTGTGCCAGACAACGGAGGTTTGAACACTGAAAATTGCAAGTCAGACATTTGGGTTTGCCGCTGACTTGGTGGAACTTGTAAATGTGGATGTTTAGTTTGTGCAAGCTGTGGAACTTCCTGCTGCATACCTTAATATGGAATTTTAGAGATATTGTCAAAACATTTGATACATAACAATAAAGTTAACTTCAAACATATTTTTTTTAAAAAAGGCTATTTCAATGATACATTGTACAAAAGTTGTTTGAAAGTAGAAAAAAAAATGGGTCAGCAATATTTTTTGCGAAGGGCCAAAGCGCATCAGAAAGTAATAATTTGTTTCATATCCATGTTAATGGAAAATATATTTCAAATAAAAAAAATGGATGCTAGAGACTATTTATGACCCTTCGCCTATTTATATAAGCTTTAAAAAATAACGCCTGTTAGCTTTTTCTCACACAGAATAATGTAAGCCGTCAATTGAAACTGAGATCACAAACTGCCTTGAGATCTGTGATGACATAAAAACAGGATGACTTTGAAGCAACAGTTACTTACTTTACATCTACATGCATCCTTGAACATGGCATTGGTCTGAATGTGTCTTTTTAGAGATTTATTGGTCGTAAATCTTAAGGAAAAGAGAGCAGAAGGGGAATACAATTTATGCATCTTTGTATTATAATAATAAATTTTTTCATGTTTATATTATAGTTAATATATTGCATCATAAAGCTATGAGAATTTTTTTAAATTTTTTGTATAGACAAGGAGTTTGGCATCTGTTTACCTAATTTCACAAACAGAGCATTGTTTGGTTGCTTTGGCCCCACGTGCAGCAGTGAAAGATTTCTTGCTATCTTGTGTCAGTGTTTGATTAGCCCCTCTCATCAGATTCTCTTGAATTTCTTCATAAGCTTGTATCACTGAATGCAGCTTAGAAAAATTCTCCTGACTTTCTTCACAAGTTTGTACCAATGAATACTGTTTAGGGAAATTCTCTGTGGCACAATGCTTGTCAAGTTCGTAAGCCCCTGCAGATTGATCATGCACAAATGAATCAACCTGTCCTTCAGCTGTATGAGGCTGTGAAGAATTATGTTCCTCCACAATTTCAGCCAGCAGCAGACATGATGCATTCATTCTTAAGTCACTTGTATTTCTAGTTATATTCTGCCTGCACATTTTTTTATTTTCTGAGGCTTCAAAGTTTTCACTGCCCGTTGTGCAAGAAGAATTTGGCCGTTTGGTAGCTGCTCGAGAGCCAGAGTATGGGATAGTTTGGTGTACCCCCACTTTGATTGACTTACATGTGAACACAGACTGTTTTGCTCTCTCAAACATATTTTTTTTCTTTAACTCTTTGTTCTGCGATTCTTTTGCTATCATATTTGAAAAATTTCTTTTTGAGGTTATATTTGTGTTACTTGATGCATACGTTTTTATCCCATTTGTGTCCAGCCTTTTATCAAAGTTGTTTGCTGAATGAAAGTGAATGACATCGTTGCTTGAACAAGTCAATTCGTGTGATTTGACACATGTGAGAGGTGATGGAGAGGATTTAATAACAAACTGTGGGACATTCAAAGATGGATCATCACGGCTGGTTTTTGTAAGACACATTTTGGCAAGTGACTGAGCTCCTGGATTACTCCGCTTTAATTCTCCAGCTGGAAGATCAGATGCCAGTTGTAATGTTTCACCTTCAAATGTTGAGGAATATGTATTTGTAACAGAGTTGTCAGCACAACTACTAACTGGAGAAATTGTTAAAGAATTTACCTGCTTTGAATCAGCTTCCAAATCTACACATACATCACAAGCTAGTGTTGTTTTCAGGTGTCTGGTCTGCATTTCTGAACACAAACTTTGAATGTTATCTTGGCTGTAGCTGGAAGCACAAGTTTCTGGTTTACTGCCATCTGTTTCATGACCCAAATCTAAAGTTTTGTACTTGGTAGCTGAAAATTGAAAGTATTTCTTAAACATTTCCACAGCATTTTGTATAATTTCATCCTCATTTTCATCTTGATCCTCATCATAATCACTGCGTTCAGGGCTGGCATCACTATTGCCCACTTCTCCATTATAACATGAAAGAGAGTTGTCCCTCTTTGCTCCAACATACTCAAACTGATCATTACATACAACATCTTTTTCCTGCTGATCATCTGCAACACATTTTTCAAACAAGTTAGTTTCTTCCACAGGTAAAGATTGTAACATGCTTGTACTAGCCAACGGGTGAAGAAAAACTGAACCCACATCAAACGAATCAACAGCTTTATTAAGCAATTCATCTGTAGTGTCCAATGCATCCACACCAGGATCATTTGAAGGACTGGACAAAGGTGATAATTCAGCAGCGTTGTTAAGCAGTTGCTGCTCAAAAAGGTCAGGGTTGAGACTATCCCAGCTGTGAATGACACCACTAATATCATCCATTTCCATACCCCTCTCCAACAGGCACAACATGGAACTAAGTAGAGATTTGTTTCCATTGCTATCATCTTTATCATTACAATTGACAATGTCTGAATCTTTTTGTAATTCAAAGGAGGAGTCTTGATCAATTTGAACAGCATTATGCGAAATTGGACCATTATTATTTGGTACATTCTCATTGTTGTTCACAGTGTTATGTTCAGGGAAATGAGTGAATATAGTCTTTTTTGTATCTTTACTGTGCCTTCTTTGGGAATCAAGACCATGTGGAACATTAGAACAACTTTCCAAGTCAATTTTTACAATTTGAGGCTCAGAACAAGAACTAAAATTAACTGTATGATTGACCTGGCCATCAGATACAAATTTTTTATGGCAATTTGATCGTGGTATAGACAATCGTGATGAATTTGAACAATCATTGTTAACAATTTCTGTGCCAGAGTTGAAATGTGGACTGCTCTCTCTATGTTTGAGCATCACATGTTCATCAATACTTGCTTGTCTGGAAAAGTGCATCTGACAGGCAACACATCGCCAATAGCTGTTACCTATTGCAACCAGGACTTCAGTAAGGGAGTACATTAATACAGCCATGCCAGCTTTTGGAATAAAATAAATTATTTAAAACGGTTAATAATGGTTCAGTGATGACAAGCAAATAATTTAAAATTCATAAAATTAAAAATGAGGACAACTAAAAGAAGTTACCTTAAGGTGTTACTAAAATCTTGATCTACATAAAATATTTAAATAATATAAATTGCAAAATATTATATAGCCTACATTTCATTATAATTTTTTTTTCAATTAATCATATTTTTGTAACAATACTGCTGTATTTATTGATATGAACAACTTGCAGTTACAAAATAAACATCTAAATAGTCTTTATAGACAGACTGGTAGACTATACTTTAATTAATATGACCAATAGCTGAAAGGTGCAGACCAGCCGCCTCTCCCTCAAGAGCTACTCTATTTTAAAAGTTCTTTCAAATGAGTTATCTTAGCTGGCTACAGACTAATCAGAAAAAAACAAATTGTCAGTTTCATTTGCTTTTTTTATGATTTGTTTGAGTTTGGTAAACTGAAACAACTGTTGATTGCACTTTTTGATGCATACATGATACTTAAAGGCAATAAATTTGAATAAAATTGACATAGATCACTTTAAAATTTTACAATTATAAGTGTTGATTCTGTGCCTGGCATTTACTATTAAATTAAGATTTTACTTCCGTTTAGCTTAGGAGAGAAAGATTAGATATCTATAATACCATTTTAAGATAGCCTAAGCCCTACCCTATGCCGATAAACTATAATATATTTTAGTTATAGTTGTATTTTTTTAAACATCATATTACTTCTGATATGCCAAAAGTAAAAGCATTAAAACAATATTATATTTTTCAACCCAACCTAGTAAACTTACTAGGCCACTTTCACTTGCCACTAGGCCTATACTATTATATACTAACTATAACTATAAGTTAAGAATAATAATGAATTTAATTTATATTATATTATTGTATAAATTATAGGCCTAGTAGATATAGTATAAGGCCTACTTAGCCTACTATATTAATAATATTATATTTTTTATATAGGCCTAACATAAATAAAATTCTTAATAAAACTTGCGGACAAAAATAATTTGGCCTAGTCCTAAAAAAGTTTTTAAAAGTTAAAAGGGCAAAATACTTAAAATAGTAGACAGTGAGTAAGACAGGTAAGGTACTTAGTTATATTAAAACATAGCTTTTACACAAGCTACTTGATTTTTGAAAAGTGATTTTGAATTTAATATTTGACAAAAAGATGTCAAGGATGTACTTTTTACTCAGTGCTTCTTTAAAGGACTTACAGGCTTTGATTTCAAAATGTATTTTATTTGCAATCATTTTGACACTCAATAACTACAGCAAGTCGTTGAGGGGATATATTGTTTGAGTTTAAGGGATAGAGCTGTTTTGTGGGTTCTAAAAATATATATTTCAATATTTCAAATGCGACTAACTAAACTAGATATTAAAATATATGTCCAAATCCAACTTCCCGGTGCAGAACAGTTGGATAATGTATTTTATTTTAAAAACCTTCTCTAGTTTTCTCCGTTTTCACAATTGCTGCGGTTCTGGCGAACAAAATAATAATGTAACAAAACTACATCTCACACGCCTGGTAGCAGAAAAAGGGTGTGTTAACTGTGTTCGAGTGAAGTTATTGCGAGGGCAACTAGACTAAATATTACTGTTGACGCATCTAGGTAGTTCATTGTGACGCACAAAGCAACAATATGTCAATCATTACCGTCTTTTTGTTCATGTACAATAACCATTTAACAAAATTGAACAACATAAAAAAAAAAAAAAGTAGCCTACAGTTCATGAGTCTTTTGTCATTTACGACGCCATTGTGGGAAAACAAGTAGAACTCTTCTGTCTTCAAAGATACGTTATAAAAGTTGCCCAATTGGATACATTTAGATTTAAATAATTTGTTTAACATTTTATAGATCTATCTACTTTGATATTTCTTTCTAGCCCACTGGATCCATGCACAGCAATGTAAAGGTGTACTCGCAAGGGACCTCAATATCAGGGGGCGCATTCACCCAGGGCGCTGCTTTTCCTTTACACGTTTGTGCATCCATTTCGGATAGAACGCGGCTCGAATTTAGAGGGTGGGGGCATGGGCGCCCGCAGAAAATCTTCTAGGGGGGGGGGATGCAAAAAATCGATTCCATTTCCAGGAGGGGGGCAAAAAAATGTTAGTAATGTTTTAATATAGTTTTAATTTACTGTAGCGTATTAGTATGGTGAACGAACGGACAGTACATCAGCTTAGTTACTTTCTCTTTATTTTCTCTTTACTTTAATAAATTTTTGGTCTATTTTTGTCTAAAAATTTTAATATAGTTTTAATTTACTGTAGCGTATTAGTATGGTGAACGAACGGACAGTACATCAGCTTAGTTACTTTCTCTTTATTTTCTCTTTACTTTAATAAATTTTTGGTCTATTTTTGTCTAAAATTTTTTTATCCAATCAATCCAGGGGAAGGGGGGGGGGCGGCACATAAATAATCTTAAATAAAGGATTTAATTTTAATAATTAAATTAATATTATTACTTTTCTAAATTCCAAATGAAAACAATAAATGTATCTTTAAAAAAAAATGATCTACGAAAATGGCTTAAACTAAAAAAGAAAATAGGAAAGAAAAAAAATCTACCGGTCCTAAGAGAAATTAAAATAGCAAAAATAAAAAAAAAAATAATAAAAAGAATAAAACTATGAATCTATGAAATAACAAGGAGAAAAACAATTTTAAAAAAAATATTTCTCATACTATTATTGTTATCACACCCGGCTCCGAAGCCATTTAATCTGTACGGAGCCACTCCGGGTGCGAATAGTCATTTGTAATTAAAATTACTCGGGTACCTATAGATGCAGCCTTGTATTTTCATCGGCTACATCTATAGGTACCCGGGTACCTATGGTGGCCAATGTCAATTCGCACCCGGAGTGGCTCCGTACATATTAAATGGCTTCGGAGCCGAATGTGATAACAATAATAGTATGAGAATTATTTTTTGAAATTGTTTTTTTCTCCTTGTTTATTTGATTGATCCATAGTTTTATTATTTTTTATTTTTGCTTTGTTAATTTCTCTTAGTACCGATAGATTTTTTTTCTTTCTTATTTTTTTTTTTTTTTTTTTTTTTT